AATTTTATTTTGAAATTTAAGCACCTAACAAGGAAGGCTCCAGCCCTATAAAACGTCGCCGTTTTATTACTAGTAAAAGGGTTCAAGTGGATTTTATTAGGTAATATAGATTTAAATAGAGATTCCCAATCTCAAACTTCAGCCAATCTCAGCCACCACAATAATTGCATCCGTTTTCAAGAAATTGTTATTATTTGAAAGCCAATTATTTTAATAATTCAAATTTATAGACTAAAAAATGTGTCATCATTTTATATCTATCTATACAATTTTTAATGATACGATAAATAAATCGTACAAAGGATTTCTTGGCGTTTACACCAATGTAGATTACATTATATCAACCTAAGAATTTTGTCGGCCAATCTAATGTGAAAAAAGACGTTTGTAGTTGTAGCTCAAAACTTTGCTTATGAAATTGCTTCTATGTATGAACAAAAAAAGTTTTCCATCACGAGAATTTGCCATACCCCGCTAACTCAGTCTTATAACCAAATTCTAATCCTGTCTAACGGCACAAATTTTTTATAGAAATTTTTTGTCTTATACAAGTTGTCAATACATGATATCAGAGGTTAATTCCAGTACGATGAAAATTTGGACACTTACAGACTTTCATTTTGCAACACCCATGTGCAGTATTAGAATATTTTAATGATAAGCAGCAAATCACCAAATATAAGACTATAAAATCCTATTATGATTGCGTAAATCAATTTATTTATATTTTTGAATTAATAAATTACCCGGTACTTTAATAGTTATCAAAACACATCTACAGTATAGTTTAACAAAAAATCATGATTATATTTGCTTTGTAAATTTGTAAATTTATTTATATAATGAAATCTCAATAACATTAATGATTAATTAATACATGAATTAAATATTATTATTATTATTTAATACAAATTAAGGTAACATAACTCATTCCATCAGTTTTGAAATCTCGTGTATAAGTTAATTTTTCTACAATATATTTGGATGTGTTATGCTCATTTCTACTTTTTGTGATAAACGAAAGTTATTAAAACAAATTAAGGTAACAAAACTCATTCCATCTGTTTTGGAGCAAGATCTCGTGTATAAGTTACCTTTTCTACAACCATATTTGGATGTGTTATGCTCATTTCTACTTTTTGTGATACACGATTTTTAGGTGCTACATGTGATAAAGCTCTTTGTTGTGAAGGAACTGTCGTATCAACGTATTCTCTAAGGAATGATAAAAATTTAATAATGTCATCAATTGTTGTCATAGCACCTATTGAGATGCGTATTGAACCTTGGATTCTTCCCTTGTAAAGATCATTTTCATCACCACAGTATTTTCCGTCCTTTAATTTCATAAGAAATAAAAAATATAAATAATGTAATTAACGGTGTGAATATTAAAAAAAAGAATATTTAATAATACGAGAAAAATTACCATATAGTTTTCCATGACAAGATCAGGGTTAAGTTTTACCCATTTTGAAGTGCTACCAGGGTTACAAAAGCCACCAGTTCTTAAATGAATTCCACGTTCACCTGCAACCTTTTCTACATCACGATACCCAATCCAAGTACCATCAGCGCGTTTTAAATTAAAATTGAAGATAGGACCCTGAATTGAAGAATCTGAATAGTCATTATCCGTGTACAAAACGACCAAAGGATTACCATTGGAGTGACGTAAGGAAGTCATTTTTCTGTATACGAAAGTACTAAGGGAAGTCAAATGATCCTTGATGAAAGAAAAATTTGTGTATAATTTTTCCATTGTGTTAAATGAATGTTCAAGGGCTATAATATCCAAGAAGTTAATTGTACCATCTTCATAACGACCACTTAGATCCCTTCGGAACATCTGCCATGACCGATCATAAGCAACTGCTCTAACTATTAAAATAATAATATGTTAATATATATATTATAATATATGTAAATATTTATGTGTATGTATATATATAAATATAAATATATATCAATATATATATATACATATATATACGAGCATACGGTACACAACAAATGATGATAAAAAAACATACTTGAACCACCACCGAAATATCGCTTTCTTAATATTGTAGCCAACTCACTTTTTACTATCAAAGCACCCAATCCAGTGGGAAAGCCAAATATTTTGTAAAAACTGAAAGCAACAAAGTCAGGAGAATCATCTAAACTAGCTAATGATAATGGTGAACATGATACATAAGCAGCAGCATCCAATAAAACCAAGACTTTTGATTTATCAGTATCAAAAGATTTGATCTTTCGTATCCATGAAAGTGGAAATCTTTTTCCAGAATAATTACATTGTGCAGGATAAGCAAAAAGACCATATACGATACTGTTATTATTTTCAGGTGGCAAATTAATGTTCCTATGTTCCGTGTATGCTTTAAACATGGCCTCCAGGTCTTTCTCGGTTACGACTTTAACATCAGAAGAATTATTTTCTTCTGCGAAACGTCTTAAACCTATTAAACTATTATGACCTTCTCTCATATATCTAAATGAACTTTTACCGTAAGTCCAAGGAAAGACTTCACCAACCAATTTAATTGCGGCGGTACAATTTTGAGTGAATACAACTTGATAATCACGAGGATTTGCATTAAAATGATTTAAGATACGGAGTCTAACTCGGTCAACTCGTTCGGTAGAAAGTAGAGAACTTGGATTTTCAGAATGAGGATTACCAAAAAGATTATTTTTAAGGTCATCAGCAAATGATTCAATGGTACTTTTTGCATAAGTAGTTGTACCAGTATGATCAAGGTAAGCAATGTCCTTTAAATGAGGGTATTCATTCTCACGTATAGAATCAATTTTACCATTATAACCATATTTATGTGAGAATTCTTTCAAAAATTCAGCTTTCTCAGGAGAATCAAATCTAATTTTTTCAGGAGCATCAAATTTAGTTTTCTCAGGAGCATCAAATTTATCAATGGTAGTAGTATATCTCTGAAGCCTTGTAGCCGAAGTATATCTTACAAAAGATTCCTTTGAAGGTTTATGGGTAAGTTCTCTTGGAGTGTCAAGTTTTACAGGAATACCGGGAACACCTGGAGCCATTATGAATAAGTCGTTACGAGATGGAAAATATGATATGGAAAGTATGATTGATAACAGAAAATTTGAACCTTTTAAATGTTCGTAGGGTTTATTGATCAACAATTTGTAAAAGAATCCATTTTAAGTTAATCTTTAGTATAAAATGTTCAAAGATAAATAAACATCACATGAAATTATAGAATAGTGGATGTTTTTAGAAGTAAAAAAAGTTTCTTCTTTAATCGTCATTTAGCCGAAAATAATATCAGAACTTTGGAGATCAATTATTCATTTTCACATTCCATAGAAGTTACACATAAAAAGTTAGTTCCAGTAATTAAAAATTTAAGTGAGAATTTTCATAGAACAAAGACCGGATTTACTAAAAGGATTTTCCTGTATGAATCTATAAAGGTTTTCCCATGAGATTTTTGATCGAGCATCCTTTTTATGATCCAAATAAGTTTGTAATTTTAATACTCGGATCAGTCCCGTATTGGAAAATCTGATATTACGTTTATTTAAGCATATGTTACACGGAAACAGATCAACAGATCACGAGAACGTCATTTCTCATGATCCTGCTCCCTTATGTCGGGGTCGTCTAAAGCCGTGTCCATCATGTGACCTAAAGCCAATAGAATTGTTTATTTTGATCGACACGGATCAGCCCGAAGAGACAAAAAACAGCGAAAAAAAG